GGGATGTGTGACCTTTAGGGTTCATGCATAAGTGTGGGAATGTGTGACCTTTAGGGGTCATGCATAGGTGTGGGGATGGTGACCTTTAGGGGTCATGCATAGGTGTGGGGATGTGTGACCATTAGGGGTCATGCATAGGTGTGGGGATGTGTGACCGTTAGGGGTCATGCATAGGTGTGGGGATGCGTGACCTTTAGGGGTCATGCATATGTGTGGGGATGCGTGACCTTTAGGGGTCATGCATAGGTGTGGGGATTGTGACCTTTAGGGGTCATGTATAGGTGTGGGGATGTGTGACCTTTAGGGGTCATGCATAGGTGTGGGGATGTGTGACCTTTAGGGGTCATGCATAGGTGTGGGGTTGTGTGACCTTTAGGGGTCATGCATAGGTGTGGAGATGTGTGACCTTTATGAGTCATGCATAAGTGCAGTAGGTAGTGTATTTTTAACAAAACTAAAAGATCTCTACCTATTAATACAGAACAGAGGTCTGCTCTTACATATAGGTCTCTTTTCGCCTTCAACCTCCAAGATGGAAGGGAGAGAGATGGGGAGTACATATAAAGGCAAAAATGTGTATTTCAACATGCAGTTCTCAAGTAAAGTGTTATATACATACATTAATGAGAATAGATTGATGTACTAACCGTATCCTTTCTTCATTTCTTTGACTGGCTAATAATGGAGAGTCTTGATGTGGTACATTATTCACATGGTCTAGTGATGAGTCTTTGTCTGTAAATATTGTCTGGAAACTAGACCAGCCTTTAGTGGTGCCTTCAGCTACCTGTAAGCATATCACAACATTAACTACCCTGCATAAATACCACAATTTTGAAATAGGAAGTCTTTTTGGTGTCATTGCTGTCTGGAACCAATATATACAAATCATCATATAGTTCATGTATTGGTAAGGGCTGTCAGTGATTGTCAGTAGATATCGGATCATTTATTTGTCAATGTTCATATCTGTGGATTACCCCAGAGTATATGTGTGCAAAATTTCGATTAGATACAACAATGATGCATATTTTACAAATTAGAAATTCATTGATTACTTGATGGTGCCTGCCATGCACTAAATGCAACCAATATGGATACATGTTATAAACACTGAGATGTGAACATCGTGACATCGTCTGCACTAAATGCAACCGTCTATACATAGGCATGACTAAACACTTTACAACTTTATTTTCTGATGCCATCTTGTGTAATGACAAGCATAAATTAATCGGCAATAGAGGGAGTTTGGCCGGCGTACTGTGTTCACACGGCACATAGTGTTGTGCAAGAGCCGGTGTGACAACGGTGTTTAGGATCTGGTCTACCCTTTAACGACGGTGTCAAATAAAAGACGTTGTGACAACAGCTTATTTCGTCCAGTGAGAACACACACTGGGATTTGAGAAAGTGGGTATTGTTACTGCATTACATCCAGAACATTGACCTTTCATATTGCGACTCAAAAATTAACTAATTACTACTAATCACTTTTTTTGGCAGCCATTTTGAATTTATGATGAAGTCATTAGCGAATCAGTTCTCTCGGTAAAAAGGCATGTTCACGAAAGAGACATGTTTTACAGTATGTGCCAAGATCTGGCTCCAGAATGGCAGAAAAGCTTTATTTTGATGAATTTTAACATTAAAATAGTCACCATTTGGCCATCTTGAATCTGATTGTCAAACATATATGATATGATGTATCTATAAATTTTGAACATAATTGGTCAAGGCATGTAAGAGATATGACAGCTGAACAGTAGTTGTTAAAAAAAAATGGTATACATTTGACCATCTTGAATCAGATCATAAAATGAATAGACGTTCATATGTATGATGTATGTGTGAAAGTATTTGATGATGGTGCTCTGTGAAAGATTTCTGATGACCATGGATACATTTTTGAGACAGGGATATTTTGAAATCTTCTTAAATTTTCCTCTTGCTTTTTGGAAATTTGAAGAAAAAAATGCATTGATACTAAACCTAAACTAAGAAAATAACAGCCATATTATGAATGCTGGCTAGGCTGGGTGGCACATTACAATTTCTACCTGTGTAAGACAGTAAGTGGTTTTACCTTACTAGCGAGTGATTTGGTTCCTTTTGAAAGATCATCCAGTAAAGTGCCTTCTTTCACTTTATCTTTGGTTGGTTTAATAACACTCTCGTTCATTTTATATGCATATTCTTGTGTCTAAAAATAAACAGTACACATTGTTACAGCGGGCGTAAATATGATTTGTACCGGTAACTTGCAACTTCTCTGGAAAATTTCCTTTCAAAGTTTATCAATATCTGTATTAACTTCCCCAGACGATTGATCATACATATTATTTACAACTTTTTTTGTGTAGTCACAACAATGTTGCAATGTCCTGAGTAACAACCTTACATTGTAAAAAAATCCTGAAGTTAATCTGAAACTAGTACATTTGACTCACAAACTAATATCAAACTCGCACAATATACAAAAAGTCAGAGTGTCATGTCTACTGGTAGTTTGGATACAACAGAGACATAGTAAATATACACTGCATTTCTGAAAGTGTAGTCACTCATTTTTCTATTTATTAAATAATGAAATAATATATAAATATGACAAATGTGACATATTGCTAAATATTGGTATGTGTTACAATGTTTCAACTTAATCAAGTACATATGTTCTCACTGAAATTACCACACTGGACAAAAAAAACACTAAAATCACTGGGGTTATTCATTAATGATCTAAATACTGTTTAAATATCAATAAATTCAGTTTGGGAAACAAACAAATGACTCAACTCATCTTGAAATCATCTCTTTTTGAGTATGTTGTCCCAATGATGTCTTTCCAATGACACCAGCCATATTGCCAATAGAGAAAGATTACATTGCTAAACTGCCACTCAAAGTTACATATGTATAATAAACAAGCAGCCTCTCAGCTGAGATAGCTCCGCTGTTAGCAATGCACATTTCAATTAAGAACAGAAGATATCATTAGAAAATGAACAAATGTATAGTATCAAAGCAATCGGACTAGCTGTTTTTAACAAGAAGTCAAAAATATCACTTTTCACCAAAAATAACAAAAATATTCATCAAAATTAGAAAATTGAAGATATCATCATGAAATGAACAAATCTGAGAGAGGTCAACATGTAGTACCTATATATGTAATATCAAAGCAATTGGACTTGGGGTTTTTACCAAGAAGTTGAAAATATCACTTTTTACCAAAAATGACAAAAATATTCACCAAAATTAGAGAATTGAAGATATCATCATGAAATGAACAAATCTGAGAGAGGTCTACCCAAGGTACATATACACCAAATATCAAAGCATTCAGGCTTATAGTTTTCAAGAAGAAGTCGAAAAAATCACTTTTTACTAAAAATGACAAAAATATTCACCAAAATTAAAGAATTGAAGATATCATCATGAAATGAACAAATCTGAGAGAGGTCTACCCAAGGTACATGTACACCAATTATTAAAGCATTCAGGCTTATCGTTTTCAAGAAGAAGTCGAAAAAGTAAAATATTGACACGGGCGACGACGGACAATCACTCATATGATAAGCTCCGCTCGACAAAGTCGACAGTGGAGCTAAAAATTTAAAACTATGATTTGAAAATTGTATTATAAACATTAATACATAACAAATTAAAACAAAAAATTACACTCACCTTTTGTGTTGCCACTGATCCAAATTTAATTGCCTGAAAATATGATATCACGAGTCGTTATGTTTTGGTTAACAAAATGAAGAATGAGTATACAGCTTATTTGCACTTGATGTTATTGTCAAAAGCAGAACAGCAAAACAATTTTGAATCTCATATTTGTCCCTAATTACACAGTTATGTGCAATCTAAAGAGAACCATACCAACCTATATCCTATATATACAAGGATACAATTTTATACAAAAGTTATGATTATTTTTTATATTGTTCTTCAAACATTCGGCCGAAAATTTTGTTAAGTGAAAAAAGCACATGGTAAAAAGACTACAATGAAAAAGAGAGCTAACATTACCCCATCTTTTGTAGCTGATGCAAATTTGGTTGCTCCTAAGGCAAATGTACTCCACCCCTGTAAATAAAATGCTTATATTAGAGTGATTAGGGAAATTCATTGATGGGGTCAATTTCATGTTGTTTTGCCTTCTTTCACTTCTTTACAAAAAGCTTTTGCATCAAAATCCATCCCGCAAGATCATTCTTGATTACGAAAAACTGTAAGATACTGTCTCTCGGACATTTTACATACTGGTAAGTGCATATACTTCTAACCGGGAAAATATACAAAACTCTTAGGTAATGACGATCCAAAAGGTAGATATGGATATGATGAACTCAAAATATGTTAAAAAACTCACTGAAGACAAAGAAGATAATGCTCCATCTAAGAATTCATTATTGCCGCTGTCTGGTGGAGGATTTGGTGTATTTCCAAAACCTGTATAGCGCCCTCCTTGACTTGGTGGCAGATCACTGAGAAAGATACAAAGAATAAAAATATACCACAAAGCGCTTTATTTTGGAGAGTCACAGAAATTTTGTAGCTATAAACACTTCATTAAAGTTGTACTTTATCAGGGTCTTGGGACTACTAGGTTAAATATTTGATTTCTTATGAATTGTGGGAAATTATAATGTTCAAATTTCAAAGCTTTTAAGGACATCGAAAAGCGATCATTTCAGCTTTCCATTTGATTGTGCAACAAAAATACACAAAGATTTCTTCCAAATCATTTTAGGCTTCAGTAATTCAAAAGAAGACGAAATCCTTGCGAAAAATATTTTTTTTTTCAGACAATAAAATATTTCACGTAACAGTCTCAATGCCCAAATAATGCTAAATATGTTATTATATTTGATGTTATTTACAGATACTTACGCTGGCTTAACTGCATTTTCTCTCTGTCGTCGTTCGAAAAAATCTTCTTTTTGAGCATTTATTTCTTCCCTGATAAAAATATAACAGTAAACATCTTTATACAATTTGTCTCCCCCAATCTACAATGTAAATAATGTCAGCAAAGTTTGGTAACAATTCCTATGGATTGCATGCAATAGAGTTGTATCAGACCTACACTTAATTCAGTCTGAGGATGAATGACACTCTCACACTTTTGATGCAGGGATCTGTAATTTGTCTTATTATTTGTGACTGGCTATTTAAAATCTGAAGAAACAAAAATTGTTTCCATGAAAAACCTAATGATGCCTGGTGCTACAAAACTGCACTTTAATGTTCAGTTACTGGCAAGGGAGATATCTTGTTTATACCATAGCTATTGTATTTATTACAGTACACGTGTAACTTAAAATATACAAGGCTTCAAATAAAATGTCGAAAATATGACAACCACAAAGACAGACCATACCTCAAACTTGCCCCTCTATTAAGCAAAGGCAAAGTGAAGGCATTGAACATATAAATGTAGTACTGGGAAATAGGACATACTTTTTTAGTGAAAACATTGCATCCCAGTCATCCTGTGTTCCACTCTGATAACCCATTCCTTGTCCAGCATCAAAGTCTCGATACACGCCTCCAGAACTGTAAGAACCTCGGGATGAATTACCGGTACCGAAGGCTGGCGAAGACGCAGAGTGATTTAATTTCAAACTAGAATTGGAACTTGATGCACAATGTGGTATATGATTTCTGGCTGGTGATGTGGCTTCAGACCATGTCTTGCCTTGTGCTTCTGTCAATACCTGCAAGTATGAAATGTAAATGATTGTGGTACATGTAAATTTCATCTTATCACTTCTGTAGACAATAGACCTGAGAGCGAAATGTTCTTTGAGATCTTGCTGACAGCATCACAAGACTGGTTTTAGCCACTCAAATAGGATTCTATTTGCTATTGTGCTCACTATTCTAAATATCTGATATAACAGATCAGGGGAATAGCGGACACAGTGATGGGAGAGAATAGAACACGATTTGTAGGGAAAACATTTTCTGGCTCTCTTTTGTATCAAAGGTCTGTTATACAAAAATTCGTAGATGAACTATTGAGATAATGTAGCAGATGGACAAATGAATGAACAGACAGAACCCTATCCATAAGCTTCCAGACTTTGTCCAGTCAGGGGCTAATAAAATGCAGTCTCAACATAAAAACAATCAGGAATCAGATAAAATTACATTTACCTTATCTCTAAATAAAGCAGCAGCTTTACTGTTATATTTTTCATGGAATGACCAATTGGAATTATAATCTGGCTGTGATTGTAAGAAAGATTTAAATTTATTATTTCCACCGCATTTCATCTTTTCTAATTCTAAGTCTTTCCATTTATCCATTGTAGTTGACCTAACAAAACTGGAAAAAAAATACAGAGGTACATGTAAGTATTTCTGAGAAATTCAAATGCTCAAGAAAACAACTAAATATAAATGATTACCCTTTAAAGGGTATCAGTTTTTTATCCCAAAATTAGTAGCAGCATTTTGCATATTTTTATATATTTTTCAATGATTGTTTTGTTAACTTTGGATGAAATAGTCATAATTTGTTCACAGGTCTGAAAAGTGATTTAACTTCATGTATTTTGTATTCGTACATGTACATACCTGATCCAAGGAGGTTTTTGAAAAGAAATCACAAAATATTTTTCAATGACAAAATTTCTTTTAGAAGAGACCATTGGGTAGGGTTATAAAATGCAATGTGCTTACTGATATCTACTGTTGTCTTTACCCAAAATCACAAATAAATCAGTCAAGTTGATTACATACCTTAAATGTACTCCAAGTGACCGATGCTTTCCTGAGCATTCTAAACATATCCATATTCCATAAGTGACACTAACCCACTGTGGATTATGACCTCCACATTCAAAACATAACTGCAGAGAAAAAATAACGATTAACAAGAGTCAATAGCGTAGATTTCAATAAATTTATGAAGTAAACAAATAAAAACACAAACACTAAAATATAGGAATACATATTTGTAACTGTTTTGGGGTTGACAACACATCACTTATTATCTAATGCACTAGAAGTTTAAACAATTTTTTTTTCTAAGAATTGGAATCTTGTTTCTCAAAATATTGAAGATAAATACTTTGCTTGATACCTGAGGTAGCAAAGTAAAGTAAAGTTGAATGTGAAATATAAGACGAGCAGCCTCTTGGCTGAGATACATGTATCTCCACTGTTAGCAATGCACATTTCAATTAAAGGACAGAAGATATCATTAGAAAATGAACAATATGTATAGTATCAAAGCAATGGGACTCACTGTTTTCAACAAGAATTTGAAAATATCACTTTTTACAAAAAATGACAAAAATATTCACTAAAATTAGAGAATTGAATACATTATCATGAAATGAACAAATCTAAGAGAGGTCTACCCAAGGTACATATACACCAAGTATCAAAGTATTCAGGCTTGTAGTTTTCAAGAAGAAGTCGAAAAAAGTAAAACACTGACACAGACGACGACGGACAAACACTTCTATGATAAGCCCCGCTCGACAAAGTCAACAGCAGAGCTAAAAATTTACCTCAACCCTGTACGAGTATGTCACAGACTTGATGGAAAGGCCAAAGCCATTGGTCAATTATATTAATTAATTGACTTACAGAAGCGATGTTTGGGAAACCTTGGCACTAAACATGGGTGATGCCAGGATAGTGCATTAAGTCACACAAAGCACTGTGTCACACACTTGCAGTCCCAAATTTCAGGGTTGTATGCTTTTTGTGAAGACAACACTGCTACAAAATTTTGACTTTATAATGTTTTCTGTACATGTACATTAACTAAATTGTTGGCAAAAGAGTAAATAATCAATTAACAGCTCCTAGCATACATTTTGTAAACACAATATTTTGATTCTATATTTCAATGATACAATGTACTAACTACACTACAAGCAGTTTACACAGACACATACTGTGGAATACTTTATTTTCGCTGGAATTAATTTTGCTGAAATGGCTTTTTAGGTGTTTTGTATGGAATTTATTTTCACTGATTTTTGATGAATTTAATGTGTAATATAGGGAAAAAATTATATTCGCTGTATTTTATTTTCACTGAATCATCCCTTCAGCGAAAATAGCGAAAATAAATTCCAAGCGAAAATAAAGTATTCTACAGTAAACTGCTGTTACTATTTAGCAGAATAATTTTATCCATATTAGTCCGTCTGAATAAAGCTGTGTTTTTTGTCAAGTGCATGACTGTGAATGTTGACAAAAG